TCCCGCCCTCAGCGCCCCGCGCGCGCCCAGCCCCGCGCGCGCGCCTCCCCTCAGGGCTGCGGAGCCGCCTCGGAGGGACCCCGCGGGCGGGCGCCGCCTCGGCCCCCCCTGCTCCCGCTTCCCTCAGGGCGCTCCGACTCCCTCAAGGAGCGGCGCCAGCACCTGCCGGGCTTCCCCGCACTGGCCGCTGCGGCGCCGGACGACGAGCACGCCGGAGTCCGCTTGATGAGTGCCCGCCTGCCGCGCCGCACAGGTACCTGCGCGCCGCCTCCGGGCCCCGCTTGTCTCCCCGCCCCAGCGCCCCTCACGAAAAGGGCGGGAAGGGACGCGTCCTTCTGGCGCCCCTCAGGACATGGCGCTCCCCCACACGCCCCAGCTCCCTCCCCAGGTCACACCGTCCCCTCGCTCGGAGACACCGCATCGACGCTGCTCCCCTGCGGCTCCTTCTCTCGGTTCTCCACCTCAGCTCCCCACTTCTCACCCCGACTCCCGCGGCTCTTTCCCTCAGCCCTCCAACCCTCATTCCCCTTCCATAGCTCTTCCCTCAGCCCCTCCAATGGCTCTCCCTCCTCCCGCTACCCCAGACCCTCCACCGCGGGCACCCTTCTCCTTGCAGGAAGGGGAGAGGGAGAAGGCAGACTGGGACAAGCAGCGAGGTGGAACGACATCCCCTCTCCACTTCCCCACCCATGCGCGCCGCAGCCAGGACCCCTCGGCCCCCTCGGTACCGCCAAGGCCCTTCACCGCTCTCCCTTCAGGGCCGCTCCTCCGCGTCGCTGCCTCTGGTAAGGAGCCGACGACCGCAGCTCCGCTCGGGGCTCTTGTCCTTCAGCCGGGTCCGCCCGGCCCGGGCTGCGGCGCTGCTGCGGCGCCGAGAGCGCCGGGCCCGCCGGTGCCTCCGCCCGGGCTCTGCTGCACCTGCTGCGGGGCTGGGCTGCCCTGCGAGCAGAGGAGGCTCCCTCGCTCCGTCCTCCCTCAACTTCGCATCACTCCGGGCTGCCCCCGCTCCGCCCCACCGCATGCACCGGCGCTGCCGCTCGCCCCCGCGCCCGGGGAAAGGCTCGGCTGCCCTCCCGCCCCATGCACTGCCCCGCTGCCGGGACGGCGGGCAGCTCCCGGCACAGGGCAGGGCCCCTGTGCCCGCCCCCGGCGGGCGGGACCGGGGCCGCTCCACCAACCAGCCCCAGTGCGGTGCCTCTCGGCTCCAGCCCTTCGCCGTGGGCAGCGTACCTTCTCCTGGACCAGGCTGCTCCGAGCCACGTTCAGCTGCTTAGCTAATGAAGCATCAGCTAGACGTAGTTATCACGATTTCGCTGCCCCGACAGTCTTTAAATACAGGCGCTAATTAGCCAGTACGTTTTGTGTGTGTGTGATTTGGATGGATGTGGATTTGGGCTTTTCCCCGTGTTATTTGCTTGTTATCTAATAATGATATGTCAAAATATAATAAAGCTGTTATCTTATAGCTGATAGACAGTAAAATCATTTGAGACAACAAGATTTGCCCCTCACCTCTCACACACTCTAAAGTCCAAACTTTCCCTGTATCTTTTAACTTACACGTTCACTGGAGTTTCTGCAATGAGCTCTAAAGGACAAGAAGAGTCAGATTGTCTTCCTGATTTGACAGATCGAGTTACTCCTTTAATAAAAGTGAAGGTTTGCGTTTCATCGGATAAAACAAAAAAGTTAATGAAATTGGAATCATAGGTTAATGAATTAGCGTGATAAGAAAAATGAACATAAGCTTTAAATTGATTTCCATTTTAGTCCAGATGGCTTGCAAAAGAAAATGAAAACTTTCACTCAAGTTAATCAAATTTTTTGGAGCATATAGTATTCCTCTATATATGTTATAGAGCTTTTAAAGAGCTCTTCTCTTTCTTACACATGGAACAAATCATTAAAGTTTCTCAAACCTCTAAAAGTGGCAATTGGTGCAGGTACCTGGGGAATTCTATTACAATTATTTGCCAGACCTTGGTAAAAAATTAAAGGTTTCTTCATGGAATGTTGTACTGAAGATGTCTCACAGTGGTGGTAGCACTTTGAATTTAATTACTGTGTGCTATTTAATACTCAGGAGTGAATGTTACTTCTAAAAGCTTCTGTATTATTCCCCACCCACTCTCCTGTCAGCACATCAGACTTGCTTGATTTTGTCATTGTCCTGCCTTCCCAATTTCCTAGCTTGAGCAGATGAGAATAGGTCAGACACAAGGTTTTAACAAAAATTAATGTGTTCAAGAGCTAATGATTTTCTTATAACATCCTGCACTTATTGTAATGGTACTTACAATTATTGTCATTTCCTTGCCTTGTCATGGCAACTTGCCTTGAGTTTCCATCAACTCTAGGTACATGTACATCATAGAGTCCTGGCTTTGCCTGGTATGGCTCCATGCTATTGACAAATTGATTTTATTTCAAACTCCAGATACATGTATAATTTTGTATTAAACAATTTTTTATTTCTTTCAAAGTAAATATGAGGCATTCATTATTAGCTAAACTATGATTCTAAGGTGTATAAGGTGTACACCAATATACTGAAACAGGGATTTTTTGCTCTCCAGTATATTCCAGACCCTAACAAAGAAATTCTGTGTTGCAAAAGTTTTGGAGTCTTGGAATCTGCAATTGTGATAAGGAGATCAGATTTAAAAAAAAAATCACAAAATGCTATAAATATGAAGCATCCTTAATTTTTGTTAAAGTTTTACAGAGTTAATAAACACTTCAAAGCACTTTTGAAAAACCTTAAATTGTTGTCTAAAGAGACACCTTCATATTATCTTTCAAGGGAGGAATTTAATTAATTTGCTTTTAATTTGGACAGTAATGTCATCAAAGTTATTTTTACTGGCTGAGGAGCAAGAAATGCCTCTTGACATGACATATTTCTCTGAGGCTGTAGAGTGTCCTCACTCAAGAGAATGACACTTGATTGTGTCGGAGGAAGACAATGGTTCCCTGTTGCATTTTCTTCCCGGTGGAGTTTTTATCACGCTCATAACCATGAAGAACTACTACACTGTTAATTCCACATTTATGATTCTGCAAATCCAGGTAATGGAACTGGGCAATAAGTGTAGGTTATACTGATGATTGTGCCCCTTGTGCATTTCTACTGATTTGCACAGGTGCTGCCAAAGAGGAAGGAATTTCTCCAGTACATGTCTGGATCATGATGATTCACATCCAGTTCTTCCAGTGTTTCGTCCTCAGCCTCGATTGTTTTGGCTATACATGCACACACCTCACGAGTTTTTACAGAGCAAAGTACAACTATCACCTTCCTTGTAACTCAGATCCCAAGCCAGTGTTAGCTGCCTTTGCTTCCTAATTGATAAGCAGTCACAAGCAGCCAAACTAATTTATTTAAATAGGGTTTGTGGTTCTTTAGCCTTTCCAACATGCCAGAAGGAATTGATCATCTGAAATGTATAGTACCCAATTTAACTGCAGTGTTACCAGACAACCAGCACTTCTGGGTCTGCCTGCCACATCTTTGGAACTTGCTTACAGATCCCCAAAAAAGCAAGAAAAATGTACAAACGAGTCTGTCTTTGCAGTAGGCAACTGGTGGCCTTATTGTCTCCCACAAGAGACGCTAACACCCAAGCTAATTCCACCTGAATGGGTGAGCCCGGTAACTCCGTGTTACAGCTGTAAATGATGGCTCCCAACAGAGAACTACAGTGATCACCCCCTGCTTTGTGGCTCGTGGAGGTGTGAAATGGTAATTTTTAGTTGGCTGATGTCATTTGTGTAGCAGCAGACAGTTTTTCTCCTAGGTGAGAAATCTGTGATGCGCCTGCAGTTGTTCTTTCAGTGCAGCCTGTGTAATTACAAAACACAACGTTCTATTTCCTGGGGCAAAAATTTTAACAAAGGAGGAAGGAATCCATTACGGACAAATTTATTTATTTATTTATTCCTTGCATGGCAGTAAGTTTCTGAGGAGGTGTGTTGACCATGGGGCCAGGACACTGGAATGTAGAAAAATGTTATTAAAACCATAAATCCCACTTTGCTGTACCTTGTTGTAAGGGACCTTCTGTGGTTAGAGGAGGCACAGGGAGGAGCACTTAAAGCATTTGAGCAGATCAAGCAGCTCTCCTTTGAGGAAAGACTGAAGAATGTGGAACTCTTCTGTGTGGAAAGGGAATAGCTCAGAGCATTTGGTCAAGATCTGCAAAACCATGAAGGGGGTAGAGATGGCAGCTGCTTTTCATTAGAAGCTGTGATTCCAGAACAGGTGAGAGTAACTGCAGCAAGCACCAAAGCAGGTTGAAGAGATGAGAGGAAAATTTTCATGACAAGTAGCTGACCTTGATTTCCTTGATTACACCCGAGAAGTTAGAAAGGCAGGCTGGGTAAGTGAGGCTCTGTTTCAGCTCTGGGGTTGGCTCTGATCTTGATCCTGTGCAAATGCAGTGACTGAGCATTGTGAGTGAGTAATGAGGGAGGTGGTTAGCAGAAGGGGATTATGCTGTCTCTCAAAGGTGTCTTCTTTTCCCCCTGTTAGACACTGAATAGTGGCCTGGAGGAACTTTGTTAGCCCTCAGAGAACTTCTTATGTTGAGAATTGTAGTCTAGGCAGCAGAGACACTCAATAAGTCAGTTTTTCTGATTTTTTTACTGCTTTAAGCAAAGTTCTGAATGCAAAAATGTAGTCAGAAGATTGAAAGACTCTTTGAGTGGCTTTCCTGTTAGTAAGTGGAGATAACATGTTTTTATAAAAGTTGCTTCTGGAAACTTAGGCTGTGTTTGTCCCAGAACATTTTCAACTTTTAGGGAAATGCTGAAACACAAGTAAGCATGAAGTGCTAGGTATGGTATAGGTGTTTCTTAGTTGACTAGGTTTGTTTGTCATCTGTTCTGGTGGCTTTTTGATCACTTGTTTTTCCTACACTTAATGGTGATTTGGGGAAGGAGGCTCAAAACCTGTGCCACTCCCTGTTTCAGGCCTGTGTTTCAATATAGTTCCTCTCTGATTGCTTAGTCACTTCTTGAATTGTGTAGTAACATATTCCTCAGTGTGCTTTTTAAAAAGGAATGTAGCCGTAAAAACCTTGCATGTGAAAAGTGTTCTTAGTTGCAGTTAAAAATGTTTGCACATGTAGTTTGCTGTTTTACAGGGTTATCTCTTAGTAAGTAGCACCATGTACAGCTCTCCTTGTCACCCTTCAAAGAGAAGCACATCATCTCTTTAAAGCTGAGGAAAACAACATGAAGCAGGTATACGTGGTGGTCTTTTTTTCAGCTTAAAATACCAAAAGGCAGTCCAAGTCTGTTACCCGGTGGGGGTTGCTTGTTCTAATTCTGTTATTAGACAGGGAGAAGTAATTACAAATAGCTACTAGGGTAGTTTTATTTTATGAGGCAAAAATGTTTCTTAAATACCCTAGCTTGCTACTGCTGATTTTATGTGTAGCTTTTTCAAGAGGATTTTTGAGACCCCATTGTTGTTATGTGCATCTTTGAACAAGTACTGAGTTCAAAAGCTGGCTGCAGAGAGTGAACCAATCCAAAAAGATGCTTCAGTGTGTTCTGTTCTTACACTTGCTTGTGAGTGGCTTCAGGAAGCACTGCTCAGTTTTGCATCTGTGTTCAAACTTAAATTATCCATGATAATAAGCTATGGTTTATGTATCTTTCCTGTGTAAGCAGAAAAGGTTTGTTTGTATATAATAAATAAAATAATTAATAGTCCCTGGATACTCTACTGAGAGGTGTTGCTACTTGACTGAAAGGAAAAAAAAGAGCAGTAAAACAAGCAAATGTATTGCTCCAGCAGTGGTGTATTGTGTTTGGTTCTTGAACCATTTCTCTTTGATGAAAGAGCTCTTACCACACCTATCAAGAAAACACCAAATGCTGAAGCTCTGTCCATCTTGTTTGTTCTCTTTAGCCCATCTGGGCAGTAAGGAACAGAGTGAGAGGGCAGCACCTCAAAGGGCTTCAAGGAAATAGTTACATGAATTGAGATCTGCTTGGTAATTCCATAGTGACATGGGTGATAGGGGTGTGGTGTGTGCATGTTTGCTTTTCTGTTTCATAAATTATTGTAAGACAGTCTTCATAGTCTTGGCTGTAGCATGGTGAAAGCTTGACAAAAGATGAGTTATGAAACTCTGTAAGTGAAGTTCTGTATTTCCTTTGTGTCTTATGCAATTTGCTTCTTTTCTCTTTTTCCTTCTGTTTTCTTTTTTCTTTTTCCTCTTCCTGTTGTCAAGCCCTACTGGGCTTGGCATTTTGGAGTCCTTTTAGTCAAAGATGATGCTATAGCAGTCTGAAAATATTTGTTAAAGAGTATTAAGAGTTAGCTGAGAAGACATCATGTCCTTTCTTCATTGGATGTGCTCTGTCTCCTCAGGCAGTGCTAAGCTCTACTTGGTAAAGTAATTATGACCCCAACCTGTTGTGCCAGTTCCTGTGTCAGAAACCTTTTCTGATTTTAAGGTGAATTTGATAGGTCTGTAAAAACCATTGTAGGTCTGGTTCTATTGAGTTAATAGTCCCAGCCCAGGAGGTCCCTTTCAACCCTCAACTGCTGATCAGATATTTGTGGTAAGTGAGAGATTAAGAACCAGAACAGGGCTTTCCAGCCTTCTCTTTGGGATGTTTGGGACCAGGACAGAGATCCTGAGTTTAAGCTCCAGTGCCAGATGACTGATAGATACACACTTACATACAAAGCTGGGAGGGGTTGGGGACAGTGACTTCCAGCAATGGGTAAGAAGCAGAACAAACCAAGTCTGCTGAATGCCATCTGCTACAGGAATCAAGTATGGCCACTGATGTGAGTCCAGAGAGGGGAGAGAATGCCAAGAGCATATCTCAGCTCTGCAGTGCTTTGGGAAGCCAGGAACTTGTAGTACTGAACTTATCATGCAGCTGTAGGGCCTCACCAGCAGTGCTGGTTCATCTTGTTGTAGCTCTGCTGTTGGGGGTAATGGGGAAGCATGCCAAAGTCACTCTGTATACCTGTCACATGCCAAGAAGTTGTTTCCCAATGTTTGGGTAGCCACCACCACATCCTCATGCCAGATCTTCCAAACAAGTTCCTCACTTGTGTGTCTGTGTTTCGTTTTGCAAGCATTATGATACCGAGACTGCCATACTGAAACCACTGCACCCACTATCAGAGGACCTCTTTGTGATTCAGGTGGAGGAGCAGGCTTCCCAGGAACTTGTTCTGTTTTTCTATTTGATCTTTACAGTAATGGACTTGCATTCCTTTATGCATTCCTTTCTGCCTTGAAAACAAATTGTTTTCCCTCTTCTGAGCTTTTTAAGTAGCCCTAGCAATAAAAGCATTCTGACAAGCCGTTTTCTAAATGCTGCAGAAGATTTTTGCTTAGGTCTCACTTCTGCTCAGCTCTAAGAAATGTATCCCTACTGTGCAATTCTGCCATCAAAGTCTGTTTAAGAGACCACAGCCTTTTGCAGCTGAAGTTGTCTTGTTTTTATAGCTGAACCTTTTTGAATACCTGCTGGGTCACTTTACGTTGTCCCTTTCATGGCCTTACCATTTCCTACTGGTTTATCTGGTTTTAAAGAGTGTGTCCAGTACCATTTCCTACAATGTCAAGTTTTCCTTGTTGTTGGTTTCAATTATTTCATGCTGTCCTTGTGCTTAAGGCAACCAGAGGAGGCCTGAAGTGCAGAATGAATCATTTAGGGCAGGCGATCGGCTTTGGAAGAGAGAACAAATTGAAAGTAATTTTCTGTCCAAACTGCTCTTGGTAATTTAGTTCGCAGTGTAGCCTTTCTTCTTGCCTTTTATTTAGAAGATGAGCTAAATATCAAGAGAAGGATGGGAAAGATACTTCTTAGAATGTCAGGAACCCATTTCTATTCCTCACAAAACTAGGGAAAAGAATAGCCTTAACAAATGAGAGCTCCAACAAGCTAAAAAGAAATTGTTAATTATATATGTAGATATTAGGAATCTGTTGGTGTGCCATGTCATACCCCTAATGATATACTTGTTTCTTTCAAGTCAAAGGTCTCAAATGAGTCATCATATGCATATTTGGCCAAGTCCTTCCTGAGTTTCTTAGGCTCTAGCTTTTGAACTTTTCGCGCATTTAACAATTTTGATGTAATTCTGAATAATGTAATGTTAAAGGCTGCATTCAAGTAAGTATTAAATAGAACAAGGAAAATAGCTTTAAGCAAGTTTGTACAGAATATCAGCAACATAATTTATACAAATTCTAGGAAGTCAGTTTTAAGTAATTGCAGAAAAAATAAACTAATATTTTTTTATTATCGAAAATCTGTTCTCTCCTTTCCAAATAAGCATTTTCCTGCTTTTATTTTCTAGGAATATTTTATTATTTTCTCTTCTCGGAGGGGAAATTTGCCTTGCATTAATCCTCTCTTTATTTTCTTTCCTTTGTTTTTTCATTACATTCTCAAATAGTTGTGTGGAAATGGAGCTAACTAGCTTGTGTCTTGTATCTGTGGGCATCTGTGTCACCCCATCTGTGCTTATGATGCAGCAGGTATGCCAAAACTGGCTGGGAATAACATAATTGCAGACAGATGTGTTGGCTCCAACTTGTGACGGGGTGCAGACGCTGTTTCTCTCTCAGTGCAGAGCTCTTGCCTCTCTCTGCAGCCGGGGGCTGATACCATCACATAATGATGTGCTTCCTGTGTTTGTCTCCTGGTATCAATGATCTAACTCAGCAGGACCTTGTCCTTTGCTCAGCCCTCACTGATTTAATTGAAGCTATTGTCTCTTGCTGAGTACATCCATGTTAAAGCCCTCCTAGGAATGTTGAATAATGCATTGAATGACTTGTTTAGGGACCCTGGATCTTATTTCATATCATGAGTGTGTTAAACATATGAAGAGCATGAGAACGTTTGCAGCAGTGAACTGTTACACTTCCCTTTGTCCCATTATCCTATTACTTGAGCTGTAGTGACTGAACTGCAGCTGATCCAAGTGTATGTTTAAGAAAGTAAAAATCTGCCATTTCATGATTAATTTCTCCCCTTATGCTGTTGTTTTACCAGCAGTTTTGGAGGTTGATTCTTTTACTGATAAGGCATGGTAAACCTTGATCAGGTTGCACTCAATGTAATTTTTTCCTTTTGTTGTGGTTGGGGGGGTGGGTTGGATATTCTATATATGATTATTAACTGAGACTTAGATTTTTGATTTTTTGTGCTGTGAATGGAGCAATGTACTAAAATCCATTACAGAACTGTCATATGTGGAGTACAATATTTGGGAACCTTAATCCATCTTCCTTCTGTAGAAATCTGCTGCTTCATGTTGCCCTTGTAGAATTTTGGGAGCACGCTTTCGGAGATGATCACTGGCCACAGTTACTTCAGATACAGGCATCCTTGAGCATGGGAATCCTAAAATAATCCAGGTTGAAAAGTATGCCTGGAGGTCTAATCCCACCCCTGGCAGGAATTGATCATATCAGTTTTGGGTGCTTAGCACCTGGCTACTTCAGTCTGGAACATTCAGGTATCAGAGTTCCACAGCCTACCTGGGCAACATTTTTAGTGGTTGACAACAATGGTGGTTTGTTCAAGTATCCAGGCAGCTCTCCTTAGCCTTTGTGTCCACTGCCTTTCATGCTATCACTGAGCACTTCCCAAAAAGCCTTGCTGCTCCTTTACCCAATCCCACCGGACAGCTGAGGGCAGTAATGAGTTCTCCCCTCAGCTCTTTCTTGAGGTACAGGACGCTGGAGAATCTATTCACCAGCATTCCTTCCATCTTGCCAGAGTGTGGATTTTGAGTATGCTCCACACCTACTGAAATCTTGGCTTGTTTTTTAAATTCTGGTGCTATGGGGTTTGTGTGGACCAGAAACAGTGATTCCCAGAAAAAAACTGTTCCTGATTGGGATTAGATCTTGAAATCTGCTAGGGCTGGAGGGAAGACAGAACTGGTTCCTCCCTTTGATTTTGTATCTGTGAAATGGTTGAGAACACACTTGGGAAGGAACTCATTGCAGAAGAGGCAGCCTGACAGGTGGATTAAGCCAGAAAAAAGATAGGATTAATGAAAATGAAGGTGTTGGTGGTAGCAAAACCAAAAGTTAAATGTAGGTGGTGCAGATGTGAAGAACAAGTTGGAATTGTGGTGGGCAAGGGATCACAGACATTACTGCCTTAATTGGCTTGGGCTTTCTCTTTTTAATATCACAGTAATGTGTTTGTGGACAAGTGAAGAGTGGAAAAATTAACACAAATATTGCAAGAGGCATCATGGATACTGTAGAATTTGGTTTTTCTAGAGTGGAGAGGGGAAGATTATTGGTTGAAGGGGGAGGAGTTGTTCTGCTTTTTCAGCCACTGCTTTGAATAATGAAATATTTATTCCCTTGGAGAAGAACAGCTGAAACAATAGAGCTGTGTTTATAGAAAAATGGTTATTTGTCCAGACTCTGATTTCTGGTTCATCAATACCTCTTTGTGAGAGGTACTTCCCTCAAATATGCCTTTGTTTCCAATGGAATGCAACCAGGGGCGTATAGTGCAAGGAGTCTCAGTTGGGCTGGCTTAAACAAACAATAAAACAGTGCAAAGACTGAAATTAAAATGTATATATTTGTTCTGTGCCATGTTCTATTCATTACCTGATTGGAGCATGAGGCAAAACAAAATATCTTGAAGCTTCCAGCTGGCTGAGCTGCGTACAGCAATGTTACATGTGTTTTAAAACATGGTTAAAAAGGCAGTTGCCAAGCTTTTCTTATGGTTTGTTTAACGAGCTTCTGAATGGTGGAAATAACCAGTAAAGTTCTCAATTCATGCCTGTTCATAAGGACAACCACCAACGTTTCTTCTTTGTTTCCCAGACCACTGAGCCCAGTGATCCAGTGTTATGCTTGGAGGGACTGTGACAGGTGGTAAGTGAGATGGCTTCAGGTCACTTTGAGTGTAATTCATCTCTTTTCTGAAAATGACATCTGCTTGCCCAGAGGGTGCTCGAGTCTATTTTCTTCTCTCCATGCCCTGGTATCCTTTGCTGGAAACAGTTGGGAGCTTGGAATGTTTATTACCACGTCATCGCTCGTCATGTCCCTGTTGTGATGACAGGGTGTGTAAAGGCTCCCTTTCTCTGCCAGGGAACCACAGTGTGGCCTAGAACACAAGTTTAATAACATAAGGCTATGTTTTCAGTTGGATTTGTTGTGCTTTTTTTTTTCTTTCCATTCTGGTGTGTTGACCTTGTCTGCTGCTTTGAGTTGAGTTGTTTTGTTCTCTTGAAAGCACCATCTAGTGGTACAAGCTCATTAAGGAATAGGTTCTGTTACTTCTTTCTGGGGTAAATCTGTTGTTGCATTAGAGCAACAGGTGGTACTGCACCGTGGTCTGCTCTAGAGGCAGAGGTGGGTCTGCAGGAGGGTAGGTGGAGGAGAGCTGCTGCCCTACCAGCTCTTCGGGGCTTTTCCCCCAGGGCTGTTTGCATATTTTGGATACAGCCAAGTAGTAAGATGTAAGGATATTGCCCTCTCTGCAGAAAGAAGGGTGGCATTCAAGGAACAAGGAGTGCACACTTCAGCATGATATGAAACAAGGAAGGCAGCTGCAGAGGGACAGAGACAGCTTCTGCCTATTGCAGAGCAAGCAAACACCATGGGATACAGGGATGGAAGTGACCAGGAGCTGGAAATTAAGGAACTGAAGGAATGATGAATCGTGGAGGATCTGAGTGTGAAGTCAGTGAAGCAAAAGCAGCTGAATACAACAGTGCTGATGTGTGAAGAGTCCATTGAGAAGTCAGGACATGTTGTCAAAGAATGTGTGAAATGACTTGCACATGTTGGTGACAGGGCTGGCAGTAGTTGCTGTGTTGTGTCCCTATGACAGCTTGGGTTTAACAGCATGGACATTATTGTGCCAATAACTTATTTGTTCTGGTCACTGAACAAAACACAAACACATGCAACACTGTAAAATGAGTAATATTTCATTCTAGACAACAGAAGAAATGTTCATGAACAGCTAAATTCATTACCATTGACAACCACAGTGATGGGCAGATGGTGTCACACCTTGCTGTCTTGCCTGGATCAAATACTTTGTGTGACTAATAATGGGAAAATCTCTTGGAAAATCTTTGAAAAAACACTATCTGCCCTTTTTTCTGTCCCCATATTGTAGAGTAGCAGAGGCATCTTTCAATTTCCTTAAAAATATTGAGGAAAAAGTGTTTACTGATGCCCATAAATATGTGAATATGTAAGGGTGGCATCTTGACAGATCCCTCATAAAAGACTTGTCCTGTGGGGTGATACAACCTGCTTGTTTGGGCATTTGGAGAGCAATACCTGAGCTTGAGCATCTTTAAATAGAAAGGGGTTTGAACTCCTGTAGTTTTTGGCCCATTAAAATGACACAACTACCAAGATGATAAAAAAAATGCCTTTAATGTTTTTGATTCTTGAGATATTTTCAGCCTAACTTCATTCAGTTTTCAGCCGACTGGTATGAGGTTTGTGGTAAAATCAACGACCAGAAATGAAAGGAAAAAGGCTGCTTGTCAGAGTTATGCTTCCCTATGAAGCTCTCGGTTACAACAGAGCCGAGATGGTTTTTAGACAGCTTGACTTCAAAGATACACTTAATAAACAAGAGGGACCACCTGGTTTGACTATAGAGGGAATGACTATAGACTGATAATGAAGGTGGAACATGTATTTCTTTGTGTGTCTACAGTGCATGGCAATATCACTACTTAATGTATGGCATTAGCAACATAAATTACATCCTGTTTTATTCCATAGTGTGATAGTTTCTGTGTTCCCTTCTAGGTATATACTACAGACTGAAACAGTGAAGACAGCGGGCAAATTGTGGAAATGCTTCATGCCTAAAATGTTGCTGGGGTAAGTGAAATTTAAGGATGTGAACCTTGCCAAAATACAAGTTAGTAGCTCCTATTCCAAAAGTGCAACATCCTGGTAGAGGAAGTGGTTTGTAAATAGTAACACAACTAGAAAGAAATGAGCACTGAAGGTTGGGAGATGTGACGGTACTAAATTTGCATTAAGGAAAGGGTCATGTAGTGATGCAATATCAAATTGTGTGAGAAAAGGAATTGATTTAGATACCAACTGTATGAGGTGGGAAGCTACAGTTCATGCTTGGAACTTCCTGTTGTAGACAGGTTATATTTGTCTGGTCAAGTTTGAGAACATTTGGAACCTGGAGCAGTGCAGGTTAGCCCTGAAAATCAAATACCTCTTCTGGTATTCTGCTCTTGGTATACCACACACACAAAAATTCCAAACAAAAATAAACCCCAAATCCAAATATTAAAAACAAATTAAAAAACCAAACAACCCACAAAGCTAAACAGCACCAAAAAAAACCACAACCCAAAAAACCCCCAATCAACCAAACCAAGAAACCCACACCAGAAAAGCCCACCACCAATTAAACAAAAAACCCAAAACAAACAAAAAAAACCAACCACCAATGATACCAGATAAAAAAACTTGCTTTGTAAGTTTATTTGGTGGAATTATTTGTTCTAGCTAACACTCGATCTACTTGCTGATTTTGACCAGGTTAAAGACTAAATAAAACAAGTAATTTTTTTAATGCTGTTTATGCCAGTAAGGTGAAGTAATCACTGCTGCTATCTTTGCTTGTGTCTCTTTGCAAGTCAATAAATTAATTTTTTAAAATTTCTTATTTAGTCTGAGTTGAATTTCATCTGTGTGATGGAATTTTCAGTATCTCACTGGCATCTGTGCTGTGGAGTTGTAGTTGATGTATAAGTGTTTCCCAATCATACTTGTATTGGTCTTTTGGGGTTTTTCTTCCTGTCCTTTCTTGAGCTGTTCTGTGTAATGGCTGTCAAATTGTTTTCTTTCCACAATGCTGCAGGTCTCATTTTGGAAGGGAAGATGTAACACAAGCCCCTGATTTCTGTTCCACTATAATGCAGCTGGGCTAACATAAGTGTTGACTGTCCACTGATCTGACTGTGTGAGCTGATAGCTTTTGAAACAGTGGGTTTACTGGCAAACTGCTTCTCAAATGTGGTTTTAGTGGTGGTTGTGTTCAGACTGACATAAAAAGTGCATATATTAATATTTCAAAGCACAGTCATGCAACATATCTATACATTCCTATTCAACAATGGGTGAATTTCCAGAAATAGCTTGCAGCTCTCTGCCATGTAATGCTCTGAAGACATGTGTGAGCAGCAAGAAAGCAGTGTTTGCACCATGAGAAGTTAATTGGTAAGTAAGGTACCATTTCTGAGTTGTGGGCTCCTGAAACAGTTTGGGGTTTTGTACCCAAAAGCCTCCTCAGATAGATAACTTGCATACGTGTCATTGTATGCAAAGGGTTTCATTTTCCAGCTTCCAGAACATCTACATATAGGAGTCTGTAATTTTATTGTGATGCTGATGGGACATGAATGCTCCTTTTTACATACAGGGCAGAGCTCACATGCGGTCCCATTACTAAGTTTCACATTAGGCAATAAATTTTTTGCATGCTCAGTCATCTTATTCTGGTGATTTTCAGTCTGTTCAGTTGAGTTCACAAAGGTGACCTTTCACTGAGTTTTCTGTGACTGTGTCCCTAAGGGTTTGCCTAACAAGACTACCTGTCGCTATGAGCCTGACCTCTCTTAGATCACCACAGCTTTGGAATTGCTATCTGAATTTATTGTGAAAATCTTTGATTGGCACAGCTTCTGGAACATGTATCTGCACATCTCGCTCCAAAGATCCCATTAGCTGTCTGAGGCTTTGCCTTACAAGTTCATAGCAATTAAGGAGAACACAAAAATTAACTTGGAAGTTTTATTAGGTCCAACCAAGAGATTTGGGGCAGTATAAGTTGGTTTGGTTTTTAGGGAATGCACTTGGCTGATTACGGTAATTTTAGGAACAGAACTCTGCAATGCATTGATTAGTGCAGGAGTTTCCAGCATGTAATGCTTCAGGTAAGCCATGGTCATTGTCTTTAGTATGTGATACTCTCACATGTTTTTAGATGTACTAAAGAAAAACAAAGCTTTTCAAGTAAAAACTTTGCAAGTTTTGTGGGTTTCCTGCTTCCTTCTCAGAATGTCTCCAGTCAGAGTTGTTGATAATGTTGTGGTGTAAATGAGGAAAATATCTTCATCTGTTCTTGTTCTCCTTAAGATGAATGCTGTGAAATGTGTGAAGCATTATCCACGGGGTTCTCCATTCCTATGCAATTCCTTTTATTATACTCTGTGATAAGAAAGATATCCTTTTCTTATAAGATAAGGTATCTCTGCCACTTGGTCTGTTAATTCTTCTTCCAGCTCAACCAATCTTGCTATTCCTTCCATTTTAACTTATTTATAATTTCTCTGTCAGTTACAAATTATAAATATATTATATGTGTAGGAATCAGTATGTGTACATATTTAAGATGATGATCTGGACCCAAGTGTTCCAGATTCTGGAATCCAAGTTTCGAAACACTGGTGAGTGAAATTAGGATGAGAATTTAAACACAGAATGCTAAAATTGGTGGTGGCTTTTTTTGTGAGGTGTTGCAAGGACTTCAGTGAGGGTTAAATGTGGGCTTAATTCTGGTTTGGCCCAGAGGCAAACTTCCTGCTGTAATCCATTGTTTTGAAAATGTCAGACTCTGCAGGGGAAGGCAAGGTTTGATATGTGACACTGTGTAAGGAATGCTACAGCAATAAGCTCCCGTGAGCCATGCTGGGTATTCAGGCTGCCTGTACAATCCATGTTCCAGGACATGGGGCAGTGGGTACCACGGCTTTTCAACACCTGTCACCTAGTCTGCCAGTGGAACTCACTGTGCATCACAAGGAAGTTCTGGGCAAATATTTGTTTCCTTTATTTCTGGTATGGGAACAGAAGCATGCTGAAGTTCTCTTCATCTTCACGCTTGGTGTGCCTCCTCTTAGGCAAAGCTGCTGGGTTCTGTCATGGCCTGGCCTTGGCAATGAGCACCAGCATGGCCACAGCGGCTGGGCTGCGTCTGCCCCAGATGGGTGTGGGGATGTCAGTGCACCGATAGGCATCTCCTGGATTCACAGCCCAGCCCAAGCAGCACCAGGGGAAGGCTCTTGAGTGTGTGCCCATGCACTGCATTCACAGTGGAAGCCATCTGGCTGTGTGCCAAAGCATGGTGAGGACTTAGAGCAGAAGCCTGATGTGCTGCTGCAGTACAATCATAGCTTAGGAAAGCATTAATGTATTTCTGGTAGAAGCTACATTATTATGCGTAATTCAAACTGCTGACTCAGTGTACTTCTGTGTATGTTGCCTTTGGAATACAAATGGTAAAATCAACAAGCTTGTAGCTTAAGTTCAAAAGGCTCCAGGTCATAACTCAGGAAATAAAGTTGTAATTCCTTCCTTTGCCAAATTTCTGTGACTCATTCAGATTACTTGGTCTTTTACTGTCTCTATTTACTGCCTTGTAAATTAACATAAACCCACCCATTTCTTCCTTAAACTTTTTCCAGCCGTTGTTGAGGCATAAAAGATAATGACGAATTTCAGATGTTCTCCCCCTAGATTGGGAAAGAGTGCTATTAACTTTGTGGTGTCACTCAAAAAAGTTACTGAGGAGATAAATGCCAAAAGTAGAGATTGTATCATCTGTGTATTGCATAGTTATTTTTCTCGCTGTGTGACAGGAAGAGATCCCCAGAAATCAAAGGCTATGTAAGCTTTATGGAATTGACCTTTTGGAGATCTGCTTTCAACATTAGGATATTATTCTAGGTATGTAGCTACTTCATATTTTCAGTGCTAAATGGCCTTTATTTGTTTAAAGTATAAGGTGGCTAAAACTAAGAATCCAGGGTGTTTTTCAAACTATTTTATTAGAAAGCAGCTTGATACTAAATTGTCTTGGACTTTTTCTGTTGAATTGTAATGTTAAGGGTGGTTTTTTTTAAAATTTAAAATCTGGGTAGGAATGTGGTCAAAAATGTTAAAGCTAAGTCAGACAATGGTAATCTTTAGTATCAGGAATCCTTTTGTGTGCTGACATGCTTTAAGAAAAGTTGACTTAGTTTTATAAGCTTCCTGTACAGAGCCATTCCGGACCTTGTAGCAGTTGTTTCCAAGGTGTTAAGCACTGGTGGGACTGTGTGTTGGATAATGTGGGCTCCTCAGCACAGGGGAGAGATGGAGATATGGGAGAGTGTGCAGTCAAGGGCCAGGAAGGTGCTGAAGGAAAAGCACCATCCTGTCTGCAGGGAATGGTGGGAGCACTGTGCTTCCTCAGCTCAGAAGAGAAGGCTCCAGGGCATCTCATCAATGGATAAATAGTTGTAGGGAGGGTACAGAGGAGGCAGAACTTGGCCACCTTTGCGGCCTGGTGCCAGAGCCCTGGGCACAAAATGAAACCAGGGGAGTTTTCCTCAGAACATCAGAAAACTCTTTTTTGCAGTGAGGGTGACTGATCACCAGCAGAGGTTGGCCAGAGAGGCATGGCATCCACTAAGTCACAGCCAGATCTGAGAGCAGGCCTGGGACAGCACCAAGTACCCTCCAAAGGCATCAGAGCGTAACTTTAGGAGTTCCCTTCCAACCTCAGCCTGTGATGATGTTAATGATTCATGAACAGGGGCATCACAGGACCAAATCAGTTATGCTTTGAAGGTTTGAGCTCTGACTCTCTGCCATAGCTCTACTAAATAGATGCATTCGTGTAGGAAATTGTGACCTAGCCACTACCCATAGCTAAAATGGTACTAGGGCTGGGAATGTCTAGTTAAGTTGGCTCACTTCGGTGAGTCTGTCAGCCAGTTATGTTATATATTTTTGGAAAAACACTTCTAATGATGCTTATCAGACAAAAAATGAAATTATTTTGGGTGAAGAGAGCTGGTGTCAAGGGAATCCAAGGAACTTCTGTTTGGATGTCTGCACGTTTTTCATTAATTTGTGAGAACTCTAACTTGTTCTTCTTACTGCTATAAATTGCATGTTGTCTTTAGGCCTATGAAGAACGATTGTAAGAGTTGAACAATCCAATGTGCAATCAAAATCTAAAATCCCACCCATGTTATACTATTTTATATTTTTCTACTCAATGGGATTTTTATCTTTTTTGAAAGTCTTTTGTTGTATCCATCTGGTCTCTCACTTCACTACGTTGTTGAACACCGCATTCCTTAATAGATACAAGGAAATAGCACTGCTCAAGGTTTTCCAAACAACAGATGTATTTAATGTCATTCATTAACCAGTCCTATGAGCCATTAAAAGGCCACTTGCCATTTTCCCAGCACTACTTCTCCTAAGCAGGACTCTGAGAAATTTGAATTTGCTTTAGCTATGGCTCTGCAGAGCAATCTGTGGTGTTTGTGCTTGGTAGGAGACGGGTTACTACATAAACACTATGACCTTGAGTATTTTTGTGAACATAGGAAATAATATGTATTAATCATGCAAAATAATAGGAAATTATACATATTATTGTTGTTCTGATTAGAAAACCCCCAGAAGATGCTATTTTGTAGCTAATGAAGACCATGGTTTAATTTTTCTTAGGGCAGTTATTGTCTGAGGAGTATTGTGGTAGTGCTGCCTTAGGTGCCTGGCTTCATGATTTCATTCTCGTATTGCTTCTTATGTAATAGATTTCTCTGTTACATGTTGCAAATTTGGGGAGTCCAAGAACCGAATTTGGCCATTGTTTACGGGGAGTCCTTCATACTTGCACAGATCCCAAACTGATGGTGATTTAATCTCTTCTGGAAAGGGATGTAACACTATGTTATCCCAATATCATGGGGAAAAAAGGGGGTTTCTCTTCTGTTTTTTTGGCCTTAGGAAGTTATTACTGGGAAGTCATTCAGCTGATCTAATAAATTTTTTCTGTGTAACAGCTGGGAAATAGCAGCCCTGAAGATTTCCAAATTAATGTAAATACAGATGAGATATTTAGCAGCTTCCTCAAAATTTGTTCAGTTGGAAAGGCATACTTTGTGGGAGGATGAACAAAACAGAGATCAAGTACTTGAAGTTCTTAGTTTCTCCTTGTTTCTGAGCTTGCCAGGAGGATTCCAGTGCAAACTGAAGTAAATGATGGCTGTGAGAGTCAAGGAACATAAACCACTGGCTGGTGTGGTACTGATGACATGTTAGCTATGCTGTGGGGAAATCATATTTATGAAGAGAGTTAATGATGGCAAAACTGGGATCGTAAGAGATAAGACTTTGAGACTTTATCTGTTTTCCTTATTACAGTGAGTTCCCCTTCTTTCATAATGTTTAGGAGCAGCATACCTGGTTTTAGTTTACTGGTGTTCAATGCACACAAGACCACAAGCACAT